TCCTCATCCTTCCATATACTTCCTTGAGCTGCAAAAACCAAATCTTCTCTAAGAAATAAAGACAAGAAGGATCTAAATGACAGTCCAAATGCTAGATATCCAATGTGGAATTAGGCTGGAGCAGATGTGAGCAACTTTATCAGCAAACCAACCATGGCAGGTTATTAAGGGTTCCTTCAGATAACCCTGAAGACCATAGTAAATCAAAGTGCCTTATACCAACTTTGGCTGGTAGCACAGCTGCATCTCTATTTGGACAGAGATAGCCTCCTATCAATGATCTATGCTCTTGTAATCTGTAAGTTGGATTCTACGCAATGTACTCTATGTGGGGCTCCCCTTGAAGAGTGTTTGGAAGATGCAGCTTGTGCAAGATGTGGCAGCCAGATCAATAAGAGAAATCAGACGGTCTGGTCATATAACACCAATTCTGGCCTGCTTGCACTGTCCTCCTATATGCTTCCGAGGCCAATTCAAGGTGATGGTTTTGACCTTTAAAGCCCTTTACACAGCTTAGGACCACAATACCTGATGGAACACCTCTTCCAACCTTTATCTACCCAGACACTATGATCAAATTCTCAGGCCCTTCTCTGACTGCCACCTCCAAGGGAGACTCAGTTGGTAGCAACAAGAAGAGCCTTTTCATTGGTGCCCCCCCCCATTATGGAAAGAGCTCCCCACTGAGGACCACCTTGCTCCAACTTTACTGTCTTTTTGGCTCCTGGTAAAGCCAGTCTTCTACTGTAGGGCAGTTTCTAGATACTGGGGCCTGCTGGTATTAGATAGCGTCCATCTGGGTCTTTTTAACATAAAATTTTTAGTGTTTTGCTTTTTATTTGGTTTTAAATTTTATATTAACTTTTAAAGATATTTTAATATGTTTTAATTGTATCTTTTATATTGTTTTAAAAATATGCTGTTGTGAACTACCCAGAGATGTTGGGTGATACAGAAAATAAATGAATGAATGAATGAATGAATGAATGAAACAAACAAACAAACAAACAAACAAACAAACTGTGGCTTTTATTTAACAGCAGAAGAGTTTCAGTTACCTAAGGTATACCAAATGCAGAAACAAAAAGGTTGCACTGAGTGTCTGCAGATGAATTCAGGAAAGACAGACAGACAGAAAGACCGACCAACCAACTGGCCATTTTCAGAGTCTTTTGCTCTAGACCTCTTTTTTCACACACTGATGCTTAAGAGGGATCATCTCACTGGAGCTGCAGCCTGGTCTGTAAAATTAGGGACAGTCTCAGTCAAGTCTAAGCCGCAAGCCTTCTCCATTCTGTGGACTCTCTCTTGCTCCTGGACGGGCTGACTGAGGAAATTTCTTTATTACGTAATAAAACAAAACATACAACACCCCCACTTAACAATATTTTAAATAGAAAAATATTTGTAGGCCTGTAAGTCTCAGCAGGGTAATTTATTCACACTTTTTCTTTATGCATCACTGATTCCTTTTAACAAGGTGATTACTGATTTGAGACCCACATATAGCTGCAAAACACTCTCAATCAATCAATTGCAAGCCATGGGCCTTCTCCATTCTGAGAACTCTCTCCTGTCCTGGATGGGAGGAGTAGTTCCCCCACACCCCACCCCACACACACACACACCACCCATGATCACATGGAAAGATCTTCACTAGGGTTGCACATTGAGGAGGGTGTTGGACCTGATAGCCTTCAGACTCCTTTCAACTCCACTATAATTATGATTCTGTGTTCTAGAAATCAACCAAAGTAAAAGCTATGTCAATAAAAAACTCCACAACCACTCTATGCCAGATATTTTTATTGTTGGCTTTTGTTGGTTTATGCCATTTGCACTGTTTTATTTGTGTAGCCATCTATTTTATTGTTTTAACCTTGAAAGGGTTTCTGTGTGGAAATATTTTAAGTATATAAATTATTATGTAGAACTGGAGACATTGCAGGGAGGGGAAACCAACATAGTCATTCGGTAAGAGCAATTCCTCTTTGAGGAAAGATTACAATGTTTAAGCCTGCTGAGCTTAGAAAACTGGTGAGTGCAGAGAGATGTGATAAGAGGTTTACAAAATTATACAGGGTGTGGCTAAAGTGTATAAAATGTGTTTTTTTCCTTCTTTCATAATACAAAACCCAGAGGCATTCCATGAAGCTGATTGGTGGGAGGTTCAGGACAAATAAAAGGAAGTACTTCTTCACACAGTGCACAGTTAAATTATGGAATTCACTTCTGCAAGATGTGATGAAGGCAGCCGAATTTCATGACTTTAAGTTAGACAAATCCATGATGAATATGGCTATTAGGCATGACAGCTGTGTATTCCTTGCAGGATGTACCAGTTGCTAGGGTATATGAACACAAAGGGGCTTGTGCACATGCCTTGCTTGTAGGCTTCCCATGGACATCTGTTTGGCCACCATGGGAACAAAATGACTAGATAGGCTATCAGACTGATTCAGTCTGGTTCTTCTTATGTTTGTATGAACACACTAAGTGGAGCTTGTGACAATGTGTGGTACTAGGGCATTACAGCTTCAGCTCTTGCATACTGGCAGTTATGCTTCATGCAGACAGTGTAATTCAGTCTTCTAGTTTGGAATTCAATAGGCATGCATACAAATCAAGTGGCATTTCTACCTATCTTAGCAATAAAGCACTTCTGTTATTTTGCTTGTGAGTAGCCCAAATGTTTATCCTTATGCTTTCAGAGCACAACCCATTAACAATGAGTCTCTCTTCTTATCTGAAATCCCAGGAAATGTGCCTGCAGCTAGGCAAGACCCAATGAAAAGGTCAGGTGGGCTTGTGCTTGTTGAATGTCTGTTGGAAAACTCGTATTAGACCCTTTTGAAATGCTACAGCCTGAAGACTTTTTTCCAAATCAGCTGGAAAACCCAGCTCTAAAACACAATAGTACCACCAGTCTGGCAGTAACTTGAGAACTCTGATGTATTTACAGATCTTCCCCATCAGCACAAGTGTCCTCATTCACTTTAGGGAAGGACCTTGAGTATGCATACAAAGAAACAGATTGTGGATGGAAATAAATGTGGCTGCTCATACTGTATATACACACACAGTTCCTTGTGTGCATGCAAATCAGAGTGGGGCAGAAAGTAGAATAGGAGCATCTCTTGAGGATTTGCAGTAGATGGGAATGGTCTTCTGCTGCAGGGAGAGGAAATTTGGGGTGGGGTGGGGGGAAGCTGTTGGTTGAAAGGTTTATATCTCCCTGCCTGGTACTTTATCCAACACTTCTGGGAAGATCTCCATGATGTTCTGAAAACCCACATTATTTGAAAAACTGTCAATGGATGATTGAGCCATTGGAATTCCTTACCATGACTCTCACTTCCAGACCTTTGTGCCTTTTTACCTACCAGTCATAACATTTGGGTCATCCAATGGGTTAGTTTTTGGTCAGCTCAATATTACAGTCTTGCAGGAACACAATAAATATCATGATTTATGGCTTTGTCCTGCAACTTATTTTTTGTTGTTATTTTTATGAGAATCAGGTGAAAAAAATGGTACAGCTGACTTCCCAACTGGCAAAGCTGAAGTACACTTAGCTGAATAGAAAACAGAAAGAGAGTATGATTTCTTCTGTATATGAAAAAAATAGTATGGCATTGGGAACAGGCATATAAACTGTTCTTGTGAACTCTGTGCTGTATCACCCTTTCAGAAAAGGAGTGTAAAACATGTCAATAGAGATCTACTGCCTTCCTCCAATACATGCACCCACACACTTGCACATACGCTTCCTCAAGAAACTATAGTTCAAAAATTGCAGTCATGCCAGCCACTCTTATTGTAGCTCCTGGAATATTTTTACTTATCCATGCAGCGCCACCGATTTCACAAATGCCATTCTTAGGTTTATCATGCTTAATGTATCTGACCTGAGGACCCTGTGTGATCAAAGAAGTGAAGTGCTATTTTCTATAGCAGGAGTTTTCATTCCTCATAAACATCAGTAGCCCCCTGGTTAATCAGTAATAGATATCTCAGTCATCTGCATAAGATGGCATGAAAAATTAAAAATGTACATGTTTCAGAGCATTAAAAGATCCAAATGCATTTGTGAAGAAGGGGGAAATATTTATACAAAACAGGTCCTGTTTCTGAGGGAGGCTGATAAGACTTATTTCCGTTTGAACTATACGACCTCATTACATTTGCAATAGTTTCCCCACCCCAATGTCAATTATTTCTATACTCTATAAAGTGTTGCTTTACACACTTTCTCAGAAGCAGATCCTGCCAAAGCCAAGAGATGTGTCATATCATATGTAAAGAAGATCAAGAAGATACTGATTAGCAAGAACAATAAAAACTGATTTCATCACCTGAAAAAGTCATAGATAAAAATGAATATTTTATAGCAATTCAGTCTCATAACTGAGGGCTTATAAAACTGTGAGTGGCATGGAGAATGGATAGAAAGAAGTTGTTCTTACCCTCTCATATCACTAGAAACCAGGATTGTCCTGTGGAATGACTGGAAGGAGAGGCAGGACAGACGTCTTTGTACCTGTGCACATTATCTGACAAATAATACTTTGCCACCAGTCCAATAATTCCTTGTATGCAAAAGAATGCCTGTACCCATAGACAGATCTTGGCCTTCCTTTTCACTTCCATGAAGAATGCAAGTGCTCGGATCAGAAAGATGCATGCCCTGAAATTTTCTCTTCATTGAACTGAATGGGGAAGGTTACTTGTACAAAACCTCTGCACTTTAAACATATCTCAGTTAACTGTACACATGTAGCAGTTACTGACCTCGAAGCTCTTGGTCAGCTGGAATATGTAAGAAAGGATTTTGTCTCTGTAAGGCGACCATGCTGATGCAGGGCTCATGGGAAAGGTTTTGAAAAAAGTCTCGACTGAAAAATATTTCTCCTGAGAAGATTAGCTGTTGTGCTGCTATGACTAAAGATTCCAAGGTAAAATTTTTGAGTTAATGAATACTTACATCTAGCATAATTGAACACAGTTTCAAACCAACATCTTTATTTGTACCATTCTGAATTGCTACTACAATGTAATCAAATACGTATTTTAATCCAAAATGACCATCTCCTTTTTTCAAGTTATCCTTGATAATTTACAGAAAGTTCTGATATTTTGTATTGATTTCACCAGCCATTAATTAAACCAGGTATCAATTAAAAATAATACAGGAATGCCTGTTCATAGCTAATATTTGTGAAAAAATTATTAGGCATGTTACAGCACTTTGATTTTAACAAGAAAGTTAAGGATACAATTTTAGGGAACAAACCTATACCAGTTTCCCTTGGAAACCTTAATGAATTCAGTGGGACTTAACATTGAGTAGAGATATGTAGGATTATGCTGTTAATCTCTCTAGTTAAAATGCATGGGGCTTGACTGTGATTAACTTGGCTGGGTCATGCCCAGAGTTACTGAAGGTACTATAATTTCTGGAACCAAACTGGGAAATTGCAAGCTTGTACCCATACAACAGTAATTTAGGGATGGGATTAAAAAAGCCAATTCCTCATCCACAGTGAGGCATCAACAGGTTTTGTCTGCTTGCAGTTTGCTATACTGCCTCCAAGACTATTCTCAGCATTCCTCTGACTTTTAGGAGTGGTTTATCTGGGCTCACAGGGAGCTACTTTCAGAGGGCAGCGCCTGAAACGCTGTTACTGCTTACCCACCTTGTCAGACTGCAAGAATTGAAGGTGTATCTAGCAAGCAGGGTTCAGTTCTTGTGGACTGTAATGGGATCAACTAGAGTAGGTTTGGGATTTATCTGCAGAAGCCTTTCCCAACCTGCCTGCCTTTCCAGATGTACTGGGTGATTCCAGGAATTGAAGTCTAGCACAGTTGGAGGGCCCCAGCTTGGGAGGGCTGGTTTACAGAATGCTGGTGCAACCCCACCAGGTTAGATTCCTTAGCATGCCCTGGGATCCAGTTTGTGCTTCCTGTGTTGTGAACCACAGTGAATCCTGTGTGGAATGAAGCTGCGGATGTGCCTGGATTGGTGGGGGTGGTTCAGCTGACACTGGATGGACATCCATCCTCCTTCAGAACATCTGTCAGCCTACACCTGATATCAAGGACACTGATTCAGTTGACACAATTTTCATGCAACTTGTTTTTTTCCCAAGTGAACAGTAGATAAACCTGGCTCGTCTCTAATGTTAGTCCTCCTTAGAGTAGGCACTTTGAAATGAATGGAATCTAAGTCTGGGGTAAGCAACTTGTGGCCTTTCAAATATTTTATCTGTAATAGCCATCAATCCTCAACAGGCCATGCTGGCCTGCGTTGATGGGAGTTGTAGGCCAAAACATTTGGAGGGCCACTAGTTGTCCACCCATCAGGTAACTAGCATTATGAAGTAGTCCTGTGCATATCTTACCTTTATGACAGTACATTATAGATCGAGCCAAGATTTAATCATACTTAAAGTAAACCACCCATCTCCAACCTCCAGGTGTGCTGGTCCACAGCTCCCTATCACCGCCAACAGGCATGCATAATGGGCCTACTAGCTGAGGAATTGGGCCCAGGTTGGGGATGGTTACTGTACTCCTGCTGAAATCAATTTAAGTCACAATTCAAGTCCCATTTAATTCAATTGGTAGTAACAGTTGGACTTATTTCTAAGTAAACATGCAGAGGATCAGACGATAAAAAGTGCTACCAGCATTCCTTTAACTAAATGAATTTTGAAATCCATACTGAAGAAAGAATTTCAGTATTCAAGACCTTAGTAGCATCATTATTAAACCTCTATTAAATATTATTGTTTAGAATATTTTAGATTTCAAGCCTACCACCAGCCACTGGGGCATTTTTCATCCATGAACCTCTCCAGTGCAGTCCAGTAGATGAATAGCTCATGAGGTCTGACAAAATGGCTTGTCGCAATTTTCTTAAAACGGCAAGGAGAAAATTCGACTCTCTGTGGGAAGAATGTTTGCTCTGAATGAAGTTCATCTAGTTGGATGTTGAGCTCAGCAAGGCACAGGCCTATGAAAACATCCTCCAATTTAATAAAGGGCACACTTTCAGAAATATTATACACCTGAGTAGCAACATCTGTTGAGAACACATAACCAGTCCCTGAACAAAAAGGTGGATATGTGTTTCCTGGATATTCCTCCTTACTCACATACCACTTACTGCCCACTTGCCGAATTGGCCGCTCCTTCAGTTTTAAAAAGCCAGTGAAGAATCTGGTAGTCTTGTTTTTCTTTAGAAGAAGTTCAATCAGATAATAGGTATTAACAAACACATCTGAGTCTGTTTTCATCACAAAGCTGGACTGTGGACAGAATTTGTGAATCCATTCAATGCCCATCATAGTCTTCAATGTTAAGTTGTAATAGGTATCTGTAAAATCTTTCTGGATAATATCTCCATATTTCAGGCTCTCAGCAGTAACAGCGATCTGGTTGCCATGATTCAAAGTAGTTCCCAGGAGAAAATAGGTCACAACACGTTTGTTGGCTATTAATTTTGCTTTGCCCCATGTCTCTCGGATAGCCATCCGGGCTCTTGACTGTGTATAAGATGACGTTACAAGAACAACCAGGAATGGGGGGTTCCTTCCACAATCTATATTGGGCAGCTCCAAAAAATTCCCATTGTCCCTTTTGAAGGAAACAACCTCATTTTTTACATCACATAATATGCATTTTTCAAAAGATGTTAATGTGATAACCAAACAGAAAAAAGCAGAGATTAAAGCCATGGCGAAAAAACACATCTTTATGAGTCTCTTGGAAGCCATCTGAAAGAAAGGAAAGTAAATGCTACACCAAATCATGTAGTCCTTCACACTGATGTATAGCAACCTGAGTGCTGATTAATGAAAATATTTGATGTAATCTAGTCCTAGGTTACTTTGGGAGTAGTAATGTGTAATGAACAGTAGTAATTCAGATCAGTTAAAATCTTGAGTCAGTGGGAGGTTTTTTTACCCACTGGAATACAATGCTAAAAAATCAAACTTAGAATAGAACAAATTAGACCTCATGACTGCCATGACAACCATATTTCATGGCTGTTTCAACATGTCATCAGCCCAACACATGTTAACAGAAAACCAACAGAGTCTGTGTTCACATATAACGACAAACTGTGCAGAAATGGCTTGTCATTGTGTGTGAATATTGGAAGCATGGTGAAACATGGCACATTTGGTTACCATTGATCACCATAAAAAACCAATAGCTCATTCTAAGGTTTCTACATTTCATTTGTCATTAAGTGTGAAGCTGGTTACCATGTTTTTCCATGGATTCCCTGTTTTGGCTAGCACGTTCAGCAGCAGGAGTGGCCGCCGCAGCCACCATTTCCTCTGCCCTGTTTGCCAAGCAACAGCTGTGTGGCTGGTAGACAGGGTGCTGACTGGCTGCCTGCATGACTCCTCTCTTCCTCCTGGTGTGGACCTCCCACTGCTCACCCACTCCACTGCCACCATGCTTGCCACCTCACCTCCTTGCCCCTCACCTCTTCAGTACTTTGCCCTCTTGCTGCTCCACCGCTCCACCCCATCACTGCTTCACCACGTGCTACTACGACATCCTCATGCATGCCTTGCCAGATGGGCATCTCTTTCACGTGTGCGCCGTACGAGACGGGCCTCTTTCTCGTGTGTGCTCCTTGTGAGAGGGGCATCTCTCGCATGCGTGCCTCATGAGGCTGGCGTGGGGGAGGAGCAAAGTAGCAGAGCAGCAAGCTATAGCCAGCTAAGAACACACCCAGGGGAGCATGTAAGCCAATGGGGGAAAGGCAGGTGATGCAGGCAGTAGTGGTGCATGCTGGGATTGGTTCCCAGCCACAGGACTGATGGGATTCATGCCCCCAGTTGGAGGCCTGTGGAAACTACTCAGGAGTAGGTACCTTGCTAATGGGTGAACACAGGACACAAGGTCAGAAAGGTAACTTTGTGGTATTCCTTAGTGTTATGTATAAACATAGCCACTATCAGTCCAATCCTACCCATGTTTACTTATGTAAATATGCATAGGGTTGCACCTGTTTTGTATTATTTTTATTAGTCATTATTTTTATATTGTTCTGTAATAATGAAACATAAGGTAAGGATACATCAACAATTGAAATCACAACATTTTAGTACCTAATTGAAATATTCCTATTATCTCAAAATTATAAAGAATTTGTGTTGACGGTATGATGAAGTAGCTACATTTTCTTATAATATGGGTGAGGAAAATCTGTAGCATGCTTAAGAAAACTTCTCCTACCTTGAATGAAGGGTTGAATTTCATGACAAGAAAATGCTTCAGTACGAAGGTGGCATCTGATGAAATCCAAAACAAGAAATTATTTGAGTGAATTCCAGATAGAAATCTAACCTGATAAACAACAAGAGTGCATGCATTCGTAAATGACAGACACTTCAAGCAGCACAGAGCCATGTATGATGGATACTGACCCACTTCTTAAACACTTTTTCCTAGGGTTAGGAATCCCAATTAAACACATGTTTGTGGGGTTTTCTTTTCTTCATTATTGTCTCTATCTGGTTAATCTAGACAGAATTTCCAACATCAGCTTCCATGGGTGGGGCGGGGGAGTGGGGGCAAAGAAAACAGTGTTGGGTATCTCAGTTTATGAGGCTGCTGAATCTAAGGCAATCCGAGTCTTCATGGATGCCATGACAATCATGAGGCTGTTGCCACATGTCATTATCCAACACATGTGAAGAGGACATAGTCTCAGTCTGCTTATCTTTGACTAAGCAAGAGAATGGTGACCTGAAACTAGAAGACTTAACATCTAGATCATTGTCCTGGATGGATCACTTCCTAATGAGATTTAGACTCTCAGCAGCCTTTCTCTGCTGCAAGGTAGGAGACCTTTCACAATGATCTGCCCACAAAAGTTAATGGATGCCGAGGACTCCAATAGATTCTAGAAGGCTCTGGGAGAGTTTCCCGATGGTATGACTGTTGCTCTTGTCAAACCCCTAGTTACTCTATGGAATGCAGAGATGACTTGGGTGGTAGACACAGTCACATCCAAGTGCCCTCTTCTTCGGCGCAGAACCCAGCCAGCAACTTAGTACACACTTGAGATGAGAGCAAAGCAGCAAAAAGATAGATGGCTAGAACACAGATGGAGAAAAAAGAACGCTGAATCTGACTGAACACAGGTTAGTACTCCTTATCAAGCCTATTCTGTGGTGGTGCGGATGGCAAAGACGGAGTTCTATCTGTCACTAACTGGACACCACAATTAATGCAGTTCCATTAGTACAGTGACCCAGCATCTGGACCAGTTTTATTAGGTTTCAGCTGTTGAGGACTGAGGATGTGGACAAGGTGCTCAGGCACATCTGATAACCACCAATTTGCTTGATCCTTGTCCTTCATGACTTCTTGCCTCTAATAGGGAGGGACTATCAGGCAGGATACAGGAGGCTGCAAATTCTCCTGTATCCTGAGGGAGGGAGTTGTGCCATTCTCTTTAAAGGAGATGATAATTAGGTTACTTCTACAAAAAAGTCTAACCTGGATCTGACTAACTATAACTATAGGACAGTACCCAATATTCCCTTCCTGAGCAAGGTGCTTGAGCACATAGTTGCTGGTCAATGCTAGGCAACCCTGAATGAAACAGATTAACTAGATCTATTTAAGTTGGGCATTAGACCTAGTTTTGGAACCAAAGCTGTCTTGATCATCTCACTGGATGACCTTTGCTGGGAGAGGGACAGGGAGAATGTGACTTGGCTGATTTCCCTGCACCTCTTCACAGCTTTTGATAACATTGTCCATGGTAACCCTCTGGATAGGCTGACTAGGTTGGGAGTTGGAGGCACTGCATGGTAGGGTTTCTGCTCATAGTTGGATGACCAATTCCAGCAGTACTGGGGGATTATTGCTTTATCCCTTGGCAGATATGTGAGGGGGTTCCACAGGGCTCAGCTTTAGCCCTCATGCTGTTCAACATCTACAAAAAACTGCTGGGGAAGCTTATCTGGAGATGTAGACTGAGGTGTTATCTATATGCAGATGGCATCCAACTCTATCTCTTCTCTTCCTCAAAGCTAGCTGAGGCAATGGCTCTTCTGAATGGGGATAATAATAGACTGGATGAGGGCCAATAAATGAAGACTCAATCCAGACAAGATGGAGGCACTGTTATGAGTGATTCACCTGCCCAGATAAGTGATGTTAAGCTCTTCTGGAGAAGGTTGAACTCTGCCTAAAGGTTCAGTTCCATAGTTTGGGGGTGCTTTTGGATCCAGCATTGTCACTAGAGGCACGGTAGACGGGAGGCACAGAGCACTTTCTATCAGGTTGTGCCGATATACCTTATCAGCTATAACTACAATCTTACAGGAGGGGCTTACGTTTTTTGCATGAAAACTATTTTGCCCCAAATTGAACCTGAAGGAGCGCTTACGTCCATATATGCCCGCCCACCTGCCCCTTGAGATCAGTGGGAGAAGCCCTTCTCCGGGAACCCTCCGTGAAGGATATTAGGAGGGTGGGTACTCGGAGGAGGGCTTTCTCTGTGGTGGCACCCAATTTATGGAATGCGCTCCCCAGAGAGGTCCGCCTGGTGCCATCGTTATTTGATTTTTGGCGCTAGGCGAAGACCTTTTTATTCAAACGTTATTTTAATTGTTAATACTATTTATTTATTTTATTCTTTGGCCAGGGTGACTTAAATTATACTGTTTTATATTGTGTTTATTTATTTATGATTGTGAGCCGCCCCAAGGCTTCGGCGAATGGGGCAGCATAGTTCTCTAAATAAATAAATAAAATTGGTTTGAAATGTTTGCATTTCAAGGGAAGTTCTCATTGGGCTAATAAAAACATCCCTTGAAATCCAAAAAAAAAAAGTGCTTTCAGGGAGGTGATCTTTGTAGGAATGATAGCAGGGATACCATGCCTGCTGTAAAGATCAGCTCAAACTGAAACCCGACTGCTGATCCAATCAGCAATTGGATTAACATTCACAATGGATGCCTTCTGAATATTTTGATAGCAATCCTTTTGTATAGCTGGTAGAACTGATAAGGGATAATGTCACAACATTAGTGCCTATGCTGTGTTCCATCCGAAGAAGTCAATTAAAAACTACCCTCACCTTTTGTGTGAAACTGAAGAACTCCTTATGAGCTTTTGCCTAGCTGTTTTATTTACCAGAAACAGCTGATGAACTTAGCCAACAGTTGTGGCAGACTCTGACACAGAGACTTAAAGAACCACAGATGGTTATTCCTGCTCTGGCTTGCTGTATACCCTTCAGTTATCAAGGCCAGCAGTCCCATGTGGGATTCTATTACAAGGGCCCTGCTTCGGTTTTCACTTGACACTGGCTTCAGCATCGGTTGAGATAAGACATAAGACAGGGAAAGAGGTTATCTTGAAAGCAGCAGCAATCCAACTGCCCGCAGGTGCTGCATGTCAATTGTGAATATGCTATTTTGGGCATGCTGAACTTTGTCCAGAAAATGTAAAAGGAATATAATATAAATACAATACAAAGAAAAGTTTAGGCATTGTAAAAGCCCAAAAAGAAGGGGAAATGGTTCTAAGTACACATGAAAGTGGTTAGCACAGGAACTAAATTTCATGTTATTTAAACAATTTTTAAGAATTGTTAATATTATTTATTGGTTTTAAAATTTTTATAGCCAGGGTGAATCCAGATGTATCTATTTATATGTTTATTTATATGAGTGTTTATTTATTATGTTGGAAGCCGTCCCAAAGCTTATGCGAATGGGGAGACATACAAAAATTCCAAATGAATAAATAAATAAAGCTAGAGAAGCTTTTGAGGCTGCACTCCTGTGGTACTCAGGGACAAAAGCAAAAGGCAGGGCCAAAGCACCTAATGTATCAGCATTTTAACTAACTCTTACTAACTGTAATGTGGATTATAGAATGTTTTCTTTCAGGATGATGAACACAGTTTTTCAGACAAAGTGTTCTTATATTTACTCCCCAAAAATGTTTTCTAAAGGTATGCAATAGATTTCCATGGAAGACTATGTACATTATCAGATGATTACACTTCCTGTGCATTGAGGACAAGCAAGCCTTCCTTTGTAAACCGAGAGGAGTGTCAAATGCAGGCGCAAAATGCCTTCCTGCCTTTAAGGGATCACTGCAATTGCCACAGGAGAAGGAAAACAGTTTCAGTTTCTTCTTTGCTGGTGGACTTCCTCTCCTTGGTATAGTTGGACAATCTCTTTCTGTCCTCTTCATTAGGCTTCAAAGAACTAGTTGAAAGTACAGAACAGCAGAAAAGAACTGAAAGTGTACATATTTGAAAAGTAAGAGTTCCCATTTATTTGCATGGTGAAAATTGTATCATGCTTTAAACTCATAGGTTATCTTCCTAACCCTTGAGTAATTCCTACTAATTTGATGCTTTATTGCAACCCCCTACCCAAATTATACCTTAGTGTTTACTATTATTATTATTATTATTATTATTATTATTATTATTATTATTATTATTACATTTCTATGCCGCCCCTTGCCGAAACCTCGGGGCGGCTTACAACATGATAAAATACATTGAAATACAATAGTACATAATAAATTACCATTAAATATAAAAATACAAAAAATACATTGATTTACAAATATAAAATTAAAATTATTAGTATAAAATAAAAATATAGGGGGAGAAAGAGAAGGAAGAAGAAGTTGCCCTGGCCAGATCATATGTTTTAACAATTGAAATGATGTTTAAATAAAAAGGTCTTTACCTGGCGCCAAAAAACCAGTAACGACGGTGCCAGGCAGACCTCTTTGGGGAGTGAATTCCATAGGTTGGGCGCCACCGCAGAGAAAGCCCTCCTCCGGGTACTTACTCTCCTAATTTCTTTCATGGAGGGTTCCCGGAGAAGGGACTCTCCCGCAGATCTCAAAGGGCGGTCGGGCATATACGGACGTAAGCGCTCGTTCAGGTAGCCAGGACCCAAGCCGTTTAGGACTTTATAGGCCATAATCAACACCTTGAATTGGGCCCGGGCTTCAATGGGAAGCCAGTGAAGCTGACGGAGGACTGGAGTCATGTGAGCATAACGCCCCGTCCCCGTCAGCAACCTGGCAGCTCTATTTTGCACCAATTGAAGTGTTCGGACTGTCTTCAGGGGAAGCCCCACGTAAAGCGCGTTACAGAAGTCTAGGCGGGAAGTCACCAGCGCATGTGTCACTGTTGCCAGGCAGTCGTACTCCAGGTAGGGGCGCAGCTGATTAATCAGCCGAAGCTGAAGGAAGGCGTTCCTCGCTACCGCTGTCACCTGAGCTTCCAAAGAAAGCTCCGGGTCGAGGAGTACTCCTAAGCTGCGGACCTTATCCCTAAGAGGGAGTGTTGCACCATTCAGGACCAGGTCAAATCCACCCTCTCCGAAACCCGATCCGCCAACCCACAGGACCTCCATCTTGTCTGGGTTGAGTTTCAGTTTATTGGCCCTCATCCATTCCCTTACCTTGCTATCCACTAAATTATTTTTTCTTTCTCCCTGCACAACAAAATGGTAAGGCTAACATCTGAGATGGAGACGTTACCACCATGGAGACAAGTTCTTCTGAGGCAAAAAGTACAGTTCCTAAATACTTTCAAGTGAAATATGTCTTTCCAAATGCTAGTGGGATTACAAAACATATTCTTGTATCATGTAAGAAGTTTCTGCAAATGTTAGAAAATGCTTCATGGATGTAAGTGAAGAGGTCCATACGGATCAAAGTTCAAGTAGTTTTTATGGCCCATCTCAATTCAGAAGCCAACTTTTTGCTGCTCCCTAACACCATGATTAACACAAAGAGTTAACAGTAGCATCTTCAAATAAAGAAGCACTGCAAATAAATGCATCCAAAAATTATGTAGTAACTTCATTTATAGACAAGTAGACACCTGAAGATCAGGGTAAATTGTCCATGTTCCTGTAAAAGTGATATATTCTTCTATTGTCAAAAAACAAAAATGCATACAGGCAGGAAACTTTGTGTTATTAGCATACTGATAACACATTTCCAGTCTCTGAAAGACCACACTCAGCAGTTTCATGTAGATGTTAAATAACTTCAGGGACAAAGCCAACCGCTGTGGAATCCCATACTGGAAAATCCACATGGCTGAACAATATTCCTTAAACATCGTGTCCTGGAGCTGACCACCCTCGTAGCAGCAAAACCACTGCAATGCAGTACCTCCAACCCCAAATTCAGACAGTTGTCTCTAAAGTACACAGCAATTAATGGTATCCAAAGCAGGCAGGAGATCAAGGAGAATCAACAAGGTCACGCACACCTTGTCTCTCTCTGAAGATAGGTTATACAGAGCAGATAAGGCTGTTTCAGTGCCAGAGCCTTGCCTGAACTCAAAATGAAAAGAATCCAGATAATTTACCCCATTCAAGAACATTTGGAGCTGTCTAGTAATCACCCACTTAAAGACCTTGCCCAAGAAAGGAACATTGGCCAACAGCTAACATTATTCAGGTTTCATGAGTGGTCTTACCTTTGTCTCTTTCATGTAGGCTAGGACTACTCCTTCTTGCAAAAAGATATCAATCACCTTCCTGCTCCAGCCAGCTGTTCCATCCCTGCCAGTTTTTGTAACCAAGAGGAGAAAAGATCCAATATGGAAGTGTTTGCATGAACCTGTCGAAGCACTTGTCAGTGTCCTCAAGCCATTCCATCTGAAACTCATCCAGGAAAAATAGACAAGCCTGTATTCTGGATAGTTCAGCTGATTCACTTGCTGTAACAGTGCAGTCGAAGTGCCAGCCTGGACAACCTTGAACAGCTGAGCTGAGCTGCATATAGAGGTTTCTGGTTGATATGGCTGTCAAAACTCTGGCTGAACTGCGCAATGTAGATATGACCAGGGTGGTTGATACAATTGCTCCAGAGTGCCCTCTCCAGAGCAGAGTTCATAAAGCTCGGTGGCATACCCCAGGGCTAAAAACAGCAAAGCAAAACAGAGGGCAGCTTGTGTGCAGACGGAGAAAAACTCCCAGTGGATGTGGCCCAAGACTAGTGCATGCCACTAGTCAATTAAATTCAGAGGCAGTGAAGGTAGCAAAGAAATAACATCTTGCAGCTTCTGTTATATCCAACAGGGCAACTGGTGTCACCACTCCACCGCCCCACAACTAGGGCTGGCTGATAAGAAGCATCCCGGGAGACGGATGCAGCTGGCTCATGTTGATAATCATCCTAGGTGTATGTTTCCTTGTTTTCTTCAGCTCTGCTAGCGATGGTGCAGTGTTCCCTCATAGCAGAAGAGGGCTTCGGCTATGGAGCAGTATAAAAATGAATTACAAACAAACAAACAAACAAATAAATAAGCAGAAAGCAGGAAAAAAGCCTGGGACTAAGACATGGGAAATTTGTCTCACCTGCCTGCATGATGTCCTGGCTGACTCGCTCTGTTGCTCTTGGACTGGTGGATTTCATATACAGTATCAGTATTTACACATACACTGTGTTTAAATTAGGGATAGGAGGCTGTTTAAAGGAGTGTGATTTTGATCCCCAGAAGGAGTGACATGAAACATTTGCTGTTGCTGTTGTTTTAAGGAATGATACATTTTTAGACTACTCTGCCACCCCCCTTTTAAAAATTTGACCCCAATGATCCCACACTTCAGAAGGAAGGGCTTCTTAAGCAATTAGATGCAGTAGCAAGGTTATGTATTGCACAAAAGTTGAAGTCTTCAAAGTAGCCACCTTACCAACAGTACATTAATTTAATCACTTGCACACTTACTCAGAAACTGCAGCAAGCAAGGAATCCCCATTTTCTTAAAAAGCTGCCACAGCCCCACAGTTTCCAGTTATTTCCTTTGTGAAAACTCTTCCAATTTTTCATCGAACCCCAACGGAGTGATATGTATTTTATGCTGATTATTCGTATTTCTGATGTTGAATACTTGACATCATACATGGAGATGATGCTATTGGCCATGTAGTACATTGGGTGGTTTGGGACCACGCATTATCTTTCAGCCTAACCTCTATCACATGGTAGTTGTGAGCAAAAACTGGGGGGAGGAGAACCATGGAAGCTGCCTTTGGCTCCTTGTGAGAAGAAGAGAGCAAATGCAATAAATACAGATTCCTTGATAAAATTATCCAAGTGAACCAAAATCAAGACATATACATGCTTTGCAAGGCAGCCTTTCAGTTCAACAATTAATAAAATGTGTTCCTGTATTGACAGTGCAGGTTGTAGTTTCTGTCCTTGGGATACTGATCTTTCCATAACAAGTGTGTGAGTGCGTCTTTTTTCTTATAAAATACCCATTTTCCCTTGCAACTTCCACAGCAATTTGTGAAACAGTGTTGCATAAGCAGTATTGTAATTAAACCCCTTATCCTACAAAATATAAGTTTTTAGCTATCCACTTGCATCCATGTACAGTTCCATTTGAATGAGGATAACTACAGCAGCAGCTTCAAAGAATTCCAACTTACCCAGTAGATCATGTTGGAAGAGCATTGCTAAGCCTACATGGGTATTTTAGTTTCTGGATCTGAATGAAGAGGTCTGATGGCTGTATCATCTTAATGGCTTCCAGCTGACAAAGAGAAATCTAAAAACTAAGAAACAAAATTTTGGTTACCAACTAGATTTTCTGGGGAGTCATTTTCAGGAGCCACTATAGATACATGATCATAAAATCAATTCAATTACTCACACATATTCAATTGAATAGTTGAGTCATCTCTAACTGGGATTATATAGGATAATCTCTTTATATTATGTATAGTATTCCAAACTATCACCAGTGAACTGTGAGCAGGCAGGATATTTGTTTCTACTACTTGGCTGTTAATTAAATGGCTGCAGCCATTCAGCAAAACAAGCAGTGAGAGCTTTCCCCCCCTGTTCCTTCTTAATTAACTTTACTAATAATGTGAATTCTGTCTGAATGATAAAATTATGCTCACTTTTAAAAATCCACCCACTGGCTATATTTGTACAGTTGTACTTCAGTTTAATAAAATGAACTATGAATGAGCCTCATGGCTCCACACACTGTCGGTTTACATCTCTTTTCATACAGGTGAACAAACAAACCAGCAAGTCTAGAGTGAAATACAGTTTCCTGTTACATTTGAACCAGGATACCACTTGGATATCCAGGATAACAACCCAGGATATGAAGCTATTGTTTAAATTTGGCTCAATATAAGGGCTTGTTTAGAAGCTCTTAGCCATAGTTTCTTGGCTTAGACATAATAGGAAATTATAGTTAACTAAAGACTTACTGGCTTGTTCCCTTGCTCAAGAAATCCTGGTTCCCTGGATTCCTATTTTGCAGGTTAGTAATATGGGTTAGTAACAGTTATATGCTCAAGGTTACAGTAAATGCACAGTTGTTAGGACTTGACCCCACTTCTCCAAGATCCAGTCCTACTACATTGTCACTGGTTTCTGTTTTCAAGAAAATATATAAGAACTACCTTTAATAGATTTCCAAAGGGGGACTTATGCAAATGAGTCTTTATTTGCCTTGAAGCAAAATAATTAAGAAGCATGAAAAGGAGTAGATGATTTATACTAATTTCAAGACATAACCTTGATAAACCAAAATATTGTTCTTGCATATGGTATGCATTTTCTCAGAACTCAACTAAAAATTCCAAGAGGATTTTTTGTTGTTGTTGTTGTTTGTTTTTTGGCACAAGGACACTTTATACCAAATATGGTAGCGCTCTTAACCGACCTCAGCAATTTCAGCATCAATCCCAATGGATCATCAGCTGAGCTTTCCAACGGAAAGATCAGAAGCTCCAACTTTGATTTGCCCCATGAGCACAAACAGTGGCTTATGTATTCAGACAGAATGCATATCATCCTGGAATAACTTTAGGAAAAAACGGGTAATGTTTTGATTTTTAAAAAAACTTATTTCCCTGTGATCATCTGTTTACACAGGAAGATGCTACAGTAAATCTATGACACAGTCTTTTGGATACATTGTATTTTGTTCCAGCTTTTCAGCTCAAACACTGGAGATGATATAAAGTGTTTATGTATATCCAGTGAACAAGCTAATACTGTAGTCCCATCACATCAGCAGCCACTAGACCAGTGTTATGAATGGGTGCAGAGAATATACCCAATCCTGTGTTCATTTCAGAAAGAGAAGAACCCTTAGGATGACTTTCTACCATATGTGGTGGACATGTGAGTAACACAACAATTTTGGAAATTGATACATGCAGAAATGCAAAAAATAGTTAAACTAAAGTTTCCTATGAGTCCCAAAAACGTGCTTTTGAATATCTTCCCAGAGACCTTTTTGAAAAACATCTCAGAGCTACTTAAGTGTATGACTACAGCAGCAAGAATCTCAATAGCTTCTAACTGGAAATCACCAAAGCCCCCAACCATTGAAGAATGGAGAAATAGATCAGCAGAATATGCAGTGATGGCAAAGCTAACTAACTATGCAAGTAGAAGACCGTTAGAAGAATTTAATGACAAATGGAAATTTTATTGTGCTTAGCATGATTAGTAGAAGTTCAGAGGAGTTTGGAAAAGAAAAAGGAAAACAGTATCTGTTGTTGTAGAGAATAATTATTTCTTTTCTGTAAAATTTCATAGAGCATGGGAAGATAGGAAAAGAGAGTTTGGTGTGTTGTAATATAGGCTATATCAGTTTAAAATTCCCTTGGCATTTTTGTCTATTTTGTCCAGTTTAGTTTGTTCTGTTTATACTAGTTTTTTTCTATTTTACATTTTTTTCTTTGTATTTGTATATGTTAAGTTTTTTTTAAAGAATCCTTAAAAGTAAATCCAAAATACACCTAGCTAGGATTTGTTTGAAATGGAAATGTGGTTCTATGATTTTTTCAGTAGGTTATCATACCATTGTTCACCTTCTGATTTTTAAATCTTTTAACTGTAGCAGCACTTCTGTATTATTTCTCAATAAAACATGTTTACTCTGTGACCCTTTCTAAGAAGACAAGTTGATATTATGTATCCATTTTATCAACCCTATCTTGTTGTCCAGTCACACCCCAACACAGAAAACAAGTATTAAAAACAAACAATAAAATACATTTTAAAAAATCAGTAGATAGTGCCAGAGAATGTCATCTATAGTTTAAATATATGGTCTTTATATACGGCATCCCAACAAGTCAGAAGGCGTTCTGTATAAGAAGCTGCCTCCCACTGAGCCAGAACATGGGTCCATTAGGCCAGTTTTATCCAAGTCAACTGGCAGCAGTAGCTTTCTGGGATTTCAGGCAGGTTTCCCTGCCTTACCTGAAGATGTCAGGTGTTAAACTAGGGAATCTATACCTGAAGAATAGGTGCTCTCCCACTGAGCCACATCCCCTCCTGTTTGTCTGTCAGCAGTGAAAAGCAAAAGTCAAGGATGAATTACATACCTGGGTCCAGGAAGTTCTAAATGCTCTCTGAGAGAGGGCCAGGTTCCCACCCCTTTGAAGGAGGCGGTTGTCAGACTTCTCCTGTAGCAGGTGAACCTGGAGCCAGAAGATCTCGCCAATTATAGACTGATGGCCAACATCCCTTTTTTGGGCAAGGTGCTTGAGTGGTTGGACAACACCAGGCACTTTTCAAGGAAGCTGACCATCTGGATCCATTTCAGTCCAGTTTCAGGCCTGGTTTTGGAACAGAAATTACCTTGATCACCCTGTAGGATGACCTTTGCTGGGAGTAAGACAGTCACCTTTGGTTCTCCTGGACCTTTCAGCAGCTATTGATACGATCAACCATGGTATCTTTCTGGATCAGCTCGTCAAGTTGGGAGATGGAGGCACTGCTTTGCAGTGCTTCTACTCCTACCTGACCAGCCAATTCCAGAAGGTGGTGCTGGGGGACCATGGTTCTGTGCCATAGTGATTATGCCATGGAGAACCACCATGCTCTATGAGGGGCTACCCAGATTGTTCTAGCCTTGCAGAATTGCTTGCCCTGCCCTTCCTTTTCCTTCCACTCCCTTTCCCTTGTTTGTCTTACTATTTTAGTTTGTAAGCATGCAGGCAGGTTCATCGTAATATTTTTTCAATTGAAAGGAGCCACTTTGGGGACAACAGTTATCTGAAAAAAGAGATAAAATGCTGTAAACAAACAGTACCAAATCCAGGCAGACGAACAGAATCTCTCTGTTTCAGAGGCAGTACATGTCCCCGTACCAAGAAATGGGCCAAACAGCAGTCCCTGCTTCTGAGCTTAGAGGCGAGGTGATTAGCTGGCTACTGCACAAAAACTGTTATGGCAGACCTGCTCATGTATGTTCTGCCATTGAAACTCTCTATGAAAAATCCCACATTCCAGCACAAAACTGGATTGCCGGGTTCTGGCATTACATCCTAATCTGGTATCTACTTTTTATTTCCTTTCGACATTTAGAAACAGGGTGCCAGAGCAGATGGAAACTTTGGTCTCATCCAGCAACATCTCTTCTTATGGTAGTGAGAAACATTACTCAAATTCTTCTTAATATCAAAGTGCTGCAATTAATGCTTGTATCACATTTTGTTATCCTTATTCAAACCAAAAAGGCATATCCTTATGTCAGGAATGTTCAACCTGGGGACTGAATTCAATTTCAGTGACACTCTCAGGGGCTGCATTCCACTAAGAGACATGCCAGAATTGTCGTGGAAAGCTCTTCCTACCAATCAGTAAGCCATAGGTGGGGCATTTTCCCTTTCAGCATGGGCAAAACTGCACAAAAGCCAGGAAGCCACTAAATAATTATTGGCTCAGCAAAAGGAAATAAAGCAGGAAAATGGGATGTGACCATCCATTCACTGTTCCAGTCATTCAGTGACGCCCTCCTCCACAGAGTTCCACCCAATTCTCTCTGCCACTTTGTTTTCCATTATTCTCCAAACAGTATTCTAGGTTCCTGATGGTGTACAGCTTCCTCTGGATTGTTTGGGAGTTTCACATTCCTCAAGGCAGGAGTGCAGGTTCTCTTTCAGCCCCCGAGCTGAATTCCATTTTGGAGAAGTTCTCAGGACTACATTCCAGTGGTGAGTGAGGTGAAAGGCAAAAAGGCTGACCGGCTGATTCCAGGAGGTGGTGCTGAGGGATTATGACTCTGCACCCTAGCAATTATGCCATGAAGTATTGCAGCATTCCTTTTTATCCCCCATGCTGTTCAACATCTACATGTAACTGCTGGGAGAGGTCATCTGGAGGTTTGCGCTGAGGCATCACCAGTATGCTGATGACACCCAGCTCTACCTGTCTTTCTCATCTAATCCAGTTGACGCAGAGATAGTTCTGAATCAGTGCCTGGTTGGAGTGATGGACTGGATGAGGGGCAATAAACTGAAGCTTAATCCAGATAAGATGGAGGTGCTGTCGCTAGGGTGAGTGGTATTTGCCCTGTTCTGATTGGGGCTGCCCTCCCTCTAAGTGACAGGATGCATTATTTGGGAGTGCTTCTTGACCCAGAGCTACCCTTGGAATTTCAGGTGCCTGCTGTTGCAAGGAACACTTTCCACTAGCTTCTACTAGTCCATCAACTATGTCCTTACCTAGACAAGCAGAGCCTAGCAATGGCAGTCCATACTCTGGTCACCTACCACTAGGACTATTTTAATGTGCTCTTCATGGGGCTACCCTTGAAAACACTCCGGGTATTTCAGTTAGTACAGAATAGAGCAGCTATGCTGCTAACTAGCACTGGCAGACAAGATCATATAATGCTGATCCTTTACCATCTTCATTGCTTACCAACTGAAGTCTGCGCCCAATTTAAGGTGTTAATGCTGGCATATAAGGCCCTAAATGGTTTAGGGCCTAGATATCTGAAGGAATGTTTCCTTCCATATATACCTGCCCAAACCATAAGATCATGTGGTGTAGTGGTTAAGAGCGTGGGACTGGGACTCAGACGATCTGGGTTCGAGTCCCCACTCAGCCATGGAGCCAACTGGGTGACTTTGGGCCAGTCACAGACTCTCAGCCCAACCTACCTCACAGGGTTGTTGTTGTGGGGATAAGATGGAGGAGGAGAGATGATGTAAGCTGCCTTGAGCCCTTTGTAGGAAAAAGGCAGGATATAAATCCATAAATAAATTAAAAAAATAAAAAAATCATCTGCTGAGGTCTTTTTCCGGAGCTCTTTTTGAAAGAGGTTAGGAGCATGGCTACTTGGGGAAGGGCCTTCTCAATTAGCATTAAGCAGGCGCTTCCCAACATAGT